GTAGTGATATGAGTCTATAGTTTTCACAGTATTTCGAGCTACAGGTATGACACCCTAAACATTGACGTCTATATTCAATAGTGATATAGGTCTGTAGTTTTCACAGTATTTTGAGGTGGTAATAGTATAAATGGCTGTAGTAGAATTTGGCATTAGTACTCAATAAAGATATGGATCAATAGGAGAGAGTGAATACAGCATAGGGTTGTGTATTTGGTTAAGGTGGATCATAGTTGTCTTACAGTATTTTAAGCTGTTTCCTGCAGGGCACGGTGTTCCTCATGCAGGTGCCACTGAGGGGGTCCACGTCCTCCACGATGACAAAGGGAGCCTCCTCCAGCGTCACGATGGACAGGTGGTCGTCCTCCCGGGCCTCCCCATCGGAGAACAGCTCAAACCTGGGCCACACGTGGTACTTCATGGACAGGGAGCTGTTCTCCCACTTACCCACCTGGGGGGAGGGAAGAGAAGAGAGATTGGGTGGTGCGCATAATCATAAATAATCAGCGGCAGTTCAAACTTAGACAACAAAAGAGAGAGAGAGAGAGAGCGAGAGAGAGAAAGGAGAATGAGAATGAGAAAGAGAAAGAAAGAGAGAGAGAGAGAGCGAGAGAGAGAAAGGAGAATGAGAATGAGAAAGAGAAAGAAAGAGAGAGAGGAAGAGAAAGAAAGAGAGAGAAACCAAAGAAAGAAACATAAAAAGAGAAGGAGAGGAAGAAGAGAGATACTCACCTTGTCCCAGCGTCTCTGCTTGTCTAGCAGGGTGATGACCAGTTTGGGGTGCATCTGGTATCCATCCTCACTGAACGACAGGTTGCGTCCCTCAAACGTCACGTTCATCAGATACCTGAGAGGAAACAATGTTACTATAGTTATTACACCATTACAACACAGGTTTAAGAGTGACTTAAAGCTGCAGTCCGTAATTCAAACAACAAAAATTACTTGACTGATACCTGTGGGCAAATACGTTACAGGTAGATCCAGGAACACCTCACAATGTTGTTACTGCTAGAAGAGTAACTTGATGTAAAGTGTTACCCACTAACAGTAACATTAATACGTTTGAGTAAAATCAGAAGATGCTCTTATACAGGGCGACTTACAATAACTCGGTTGTTCCACGAAAATATTTACCTTTTGTGTCCCTTTGACATTTTAAGTAGAAACTTGTGCATCAATATTGAATTTTAAAAGGCTGTTATATTAAATGAAGTGCCCTTTAATATAGACCACATGGAGAAATCAATAAATTAAAGATTGAGCATTTTGACATGCACCGTCTGTGACTTGTAGGACGATCGTAACCCTCTATTTTTCCAAGTTTTCACCATCATTATAAAGCCCTAGTTATCTTGTTGCATTGACAAAGTAATTTCTGAACATTAGTATTTATTTCATGTGATTAGTGATTCATTTACGTCTGTCCCTTTACGTATGTTGAAACTATTGCTTTGTGAAAACAAAATTCTAAAGAAACATTAATCATCTAGAGAGAGCGGGGAAGAGGGGAAGAGAGAGAGTAGCGAGAGAGCGAGAGAAGAATTTGTTTTGAGAACCAAAAGGAAAAAAAAAAAACAAAAAGAGGGAAAATAGAGGAAACCGGGCCCCAAAAAGGGGGCTGCCGGGGAACCCGGGGGGGGCCAAAACGGTAAAAACCCAGAAGAAGGCTAAAAGGGGCGAAAAATGGGAAAAATGCCGGGTTTTACATTTAAAAAAGGTTCAAAGGAAAAGGGAATTTAAAAAAAGAAAAAAACCCGGGGAAAAAAAAAAGGAAAGAACAAAACAGGCCCCGGGACGAGGGGGGAAAAAAACATTAAAAGAACAAAAGTAAACAAAATACGGGAAAAAAGTAATCGAAAATGTTTAAAGGGGAAATAAACGGCCCCCGAGGGGCCCGGGTCCCTTTTTTTTAAAGAAAAACCAAAGGAAAGGAAAGAAAAAGAAGGCTAAAGAACAGAGAATAATAAGAAAAAAGGAAAAATTTTAAAAACGGGGGCAAAAAGGGGTTGACAAAAGGAAAGGAAAAAAAACCCCCCCCGGGTTTTGGGGAAAAGAAAAAGCGGGGAGGCAGACAAAGGGAAGAAGAACGGAAGGCAAGTCGTCCCGGGGGGGAAAAGGAAATAGCCGAAAAACAAAACAAAAGGGGAAACAAAAACACGGGAGAGGAAGGGAAAAGGGAAAAGAGAACCCGAGAAAAACAAAAAAGGGGAGGGAAGGAGGAGAGAAAGAGGGAAAAGGAGGGAAAAGAGGAGAAAAGAGAAAGGGGAAAGGAGAGAGGGGAAGAGAGAGAGAAAGAAAACAGAGAAGAGAAAGAAAAAGAGGGGGCGGGAATAAAATTTAAATCGATACGAGAGAAAAGAGAAGAGGGAGGGAGGGGGAAAAACAGAGAAAAGGGGGAGGAGAAAGAGGGAAAAGAGAGTAAAAAAGAGGAAGGAGAGAAGAGAGAGGAGGGGCGAAAGAGGGAAGAGAGAGCAAGAAAAGGCGGAAAAGTTGGGAAACGGGCGGAATAGGCGGAACGCCAATTAAAAAACCAAAAACCCCAGGGCCCGGCCCCCCTCCCCCTTTTTCCCAAGGGGGGGAAGGTTCCCAGGCCCCCGCCGGGCCCCAAACAAAAGCAGGAAAAAAAAAAAAGGAAAAAAGAGAAGAGAGGAGATAGACAGAGAACAGAGAGAAAAACAGAGAGAAAGAGGACAAAAACGAGAACAGAGAGAGAGATATAAGAGAGAAGACAGAGAGACAGAGAGACAGAGAGACAGAGAGACAGAGAGACAGAGAGACAGAGAGAGAGAGAGAAGCAACGTGTGGAGTTGAGATGTGTGCTTAATGAGATGCCTGAGACAGTTAACAGTCAGTAACAGAGAGAGAGGGCACCAGATCATTTCAACAATGAGGGGAAAGAACAGGTGATGAAGATGACAAAGCGAGACCTGTCTGTCCTACTACACTTTGAACCTTGTCACTATGCAGTATGCCTTTGACTAAATCTAACACACCTTCAACGCGCTGTATGCATCTAATACAGCCTTTAGAGTGTCCCTAAAATATCTGCCATGTAAGGTGTAGTACTGTACTACTGTAAAGCGCATGTAACATGGGATTAACAGTAGGTGCCTAACATTAGGATTTGAATGATGAAACCCAAAAATGCAACGCCACCCAAAGGAATACCCACTCGTTCCCACTCATGTTAACCAAGCTGACCATGTTTAAGTGCAGGTGTGCGTGGAGTGTGGCAATGTACTGAACTGTATTGTCTGTGATGTGTGTCACCATGGGTGACATGTATGATTGTTAACAAAAACCCCAACAGAGAAAGACTCCCCGTCATATGTAATGTGTTGCCATGGTGCCCAACAACCACAGCGATTTTCAAGCAATCTGCTGCGTTGTCATGGGAACAGTAATCTCACCCGAAAGAGAGGGGGATGACAGAGAAAGAGAGAAGAGAGAGAGACAGAAAGAGAGAAAGAAAGAGTGAGATAGGGGGCATCTTTTCTTTTATTTACCCAGTCTACCACCCTACTCCTCTCATTCTGTCTCTCACTTCTTTCGACAGTCTCATTTACGAGAAGCAGAGTAGATACACTTGAGTCAATATCAATGGATCCATCCAGCCCTACACTAAATGGATAGATAAATAGATTGATGCAAGCTGGGAATATAACTGTACCAGGCAGTGCCATTTGTCCTTTGTAGCCGTGCAGTATTGATGTAGCCTTTATGCGTCATGTGATGTGTCCCCATGTCTGAATTCCCCTCGGACTAAGACAGATAAAAACGCATAACCGACTGGAGCTAACAAAACCTAATGCAGCTTTGTCATTGCCATACACTATGCAGCCGCTAGCATTATGCCTCTCACTTACGAACTGTTCAACTAAAAAAGACAGAGAGAAAGAGAGAGAGAGGGAGAGACAGAGAGAGACAGAGAGAGAGAGAGGAGAGAGAGAGAGAGAGAGAGAGAGAGAGAGAGAGAGAGAGAGAGAGAGAGAGAGAGAGAGAGAGAGAGAGAGAACAAGAGAGACAGAGAGAGACCGAGAGAGACAGAGAGAGACCGAGAGAGAGACCGAGAGAGAGAGAGAGAGAGAGAGAGAGAGAGAGAGAGAGAGAGAGAGAGAGAGAGAGAGAGAGAGAGAGAGAGAGAGAGAGAGAGAGAGAGAGAGAGAGAGACAGAGACAGAGACAGAGACAGAGACAGAGAGAGAGAGAGAGAGAGAGAGAGAGAGAGAGAGAGAGAGAGAGAGAGAGAGAGAGAGAGAGAGCTAAAGTTATACTGTGGCTCAGCCAAAAAACACATAGGATTTTCTAGCCTATACAGTAACTGAGACAGACTGACAATATCTGATCGGTATCACACTCTGAAAGCGCCTCTGTGAAGCAGCCAAAACATGTCCGCTTTAAAGTGAGCCCACAACTTGAACATCATATTCCCTACATAGTGCACTACTTTTGACCAGGGCCCATAGGACACTGGTCTAAAGTAGTGCACTATATAGAGAATAGGGTTCCATTTGAGACGCAGCCAGAGGATTGCCGGACAGACATGTCATTCCTAGGTAGCCGGGTGGATTTGGAGGAAGACTATCTTGCCTCCCAAATGGCACCCTATTCCCTACATACAGTAGTGCACTACATTTGAACAGGGCTCTGGTCAAAAGTAGTGCATTCAGGGCTCTGGTCAAAAGTAGTGCACTATGTAGGTAATAGGGTGCCATTTGGGACACATTCACTTTGTGAGACGGGGCTTATCATATCCGCCCAGGACAGCAACGGACTCTTCATTCAGGTTGTATGGGGAGAAACGAGTCTATCATGTTTTACAGGTTGGTATCTTTCTATCCAGATTATATTAATACTGTAGTGTCAGCTGGGTCGTGGTCAGTAGTAGAAAAACGTTTTGCAACAGAACACAAACATTCTTTATCGGAAATGTTTAAGTAGTACCTCCCCGTTTCACTCCATTTTCTCCCTATTGAACACAACCCATAATACCTGAAGCTATTTGTGAGCCTTCAAGAACCTGGCTAAGGTACTGAAAAACTCCACACAGCTATTTATCAACATGTCAACTTCAATGATGAACAACAGCGCACAATTATTTGACATGCACCATTATCAAGAAGCATCCCCTCATTGTGAGAGAGACCAAGACAGAGAGAGAGAGAGAGAGAGAGAGAGAGAGAGAGAGAGAGAGAGAGAGAGAGAGAGAGAGAGAGAGAGAGAGAGAGAGAGAAAGAGAGAGAAAGAGAGAGAGAGAGAGAGAGAAATGGCACAGTGCTATACTAGCACACTACCCCTCTGTTAAGAGGGGGGGTGTTAGCGATGGGTGGAAACTCAGGATACTGGACAACGAGGACTCTGAGTCGTCTACTATTAATCTCTATAAATCTGGAACCGTTTTGGTTCAAGGCAGCACCAAACAGTTCCAGCTGGACTTTCACCTAATCAAAGAAATAGCTCAGCAGGAGAAGCTCTCCCTTGAGAAAGATACCCCTACCCCGAGCGGGTCAGACCAGACCTCTTCATTAAATAACCCCACAGAGCAACCCCAAGCAGAAAGTCATCTTTCCAGCACAGAGTAATACTCCCTCATTGAAATGAAGGATAAATTCACCCTGCTGGAGGTAAGGCAGGTGGAGCTGGAACAGCAGGTGAACACACTCCAGTCAGCACAGACCCAGAAAACAGTCCAGCACAACAACACCCCCTTAACTAGACCTGGAGAGCTGGAGGTAGAGAGAGACATGTCTGCACTCTGGACTGTGGTGAGACAACATCAACAGGAGAAAGAGCAGGAGCAGGAGAAGAACAGAGCACTAGAGGAGAGGATCAGAGTGCTGGAGGAGAAGGTGAGAACGATGACGGGTGACAGAGAACAACCCATTAGAGAGCTGGCCGCCCCCGCAGAGAAGCCAGCAGAACAGCCCACCTCAGATCCTGGCCAAAGTCTCAACACCGCAGCAGAACAGTACACCCTAGACCCTGACCATAGCCTCGAAATCACACCCAGACAAACAAATTAAGAACCCCAAGCCCTGGGGACCCCAACCCCTCTGAGCAACCCCCCAGTCAGACACCCTGATAGCCCTCATGACGACCCCCCCACACCCACTGAGGACATACACAAACCACAGATTGTACTCCTTATGGACTCAAACGGGAAATACATACAAGAAAATAAACTTTTTCCAAAACACACAGTGTCTAAACTCTGGTGTCCAAACACCCAGCGCGCCCTAGACCTTCTGTCTGAGGACCGACTAGGATCACCCAGCCACATAATAATACACACAGGCACAAATGACCTGAGAACACAGCAGGAAAGGGTGGCCACAGCACTCAAGGGAGTGATAGAAAAAGCTTATTCTACTTTCCCCAACGCACAAGTGGTTATCTCAACCCTGTTACCACGAAAATACTTCCACCCTGCTACCATACAGCGGGTAAACGCAAGTATTTCCCATGACTGTGCATCAAAACCGAATGTCTACCTGGCCCACCACTCCACCCTGGACGTGAACAGCCTTTATGACCAGGTCCACCTATACAAGGCAGCAGTGCCCACCTTCGCCCGGACCCTAAAGGATATCGCCCTCAACCGCAGACCCAACACCTCACACAGGAGCAACAGATCAACAGACACCCCGCCCAGACCAGCGAGACACTCTCCCAGACCTGCGGGAGCACCCCCCCCTGTCCTGTAGCCCATCCCAGCCTTGTGCAGGTCTACAATTTTATCCCTGATGTCCTTACACAGCTCTCTGGTCTTGGCCATTGTGGAGAGGTTGGAGTCTGTTTGATTGAGTGTGTGGACAGGTGTCTTTTATACAGGTAACGAGTTCAAACAGGTGCAGTTAATACAGGTAATGAGTGGAGAACAGGAGGGCTTCTTAAAGAAAAACTAACAGGTCTGTGAGAGCCGGAATTCTTACTGGTTGGTAGGTGATCAAATACTTATGTCATGCAATAAAATGCAAATTAATTACTTAAAAATCATACAATGTGATTTTCTCGATTTTTGTTTTAGATTCCGTCTCTCACAGTTGAAGTGTACCTATGATAAAAATTACAGACCTCTACATGCTTTGTAAGTAGGAAAACCTGCAAAATCGGCAGTGTATCAAATACTTGTTCTCCCCACTGTATGTCAACGAATTGGCGAGGGCACTAGAACAGTCTGCAGCACCCGGCCTCACCCTACTAGAATCTGAAGTCAAATGCCTTCTGTTTGCGGATGATCTGGTGCTTCTGTCACCAACCAAGGAGGGCCTACAGCAGCACCTAGATCTTCTGCACAGATTCTGTCAGACCTGGGCCCTGACAGTAAATCTCAGTAAGACAAAAATAATGGTGTTCCAAAAAAGGTCCAGTTGCCAGGACCACAAATACAAATTCCATCTAGACACCGTTGCCCTAGAGCACACAAAAAACTATACATACCTCGGCCTAAACATCGGCACCACAGGTAACTTCCACAAAGCTGTGAACGATCTGAGAG